AATCAAAAANCTATACAAGCGTTTAAGCAAGTATTAGCATTCTCCAGTATGCATATAGTGTGAGCCTGGTTCTGCACATGCGCCAACTTGCACTTCACAGAGCTAACTGCTCGTTTGGTTTCTAAATTATATTTGAATATTTGTTTCCTGTTCTTAACGGCTTTGACAAAAGTTTCAACCTAAATTTTATGCATTCTATTCTACATCAGATTATTTCCGTTTAATTTTTCGGTAAATCTCTGTATTCGCCTCATGGGGAGATTCGGGTAGGAGTAACGTAAATAACCTAGATGACTTACCTCTATTGGATATTGGAGGTATATATGAATACGAAAAAATCGTACAAGAAAAAAAAAAAAAAAAAAAAAAAAAAAAAAAAAAAAAAAAATTTTTTTTTTTCTCTTAATTAAATATAAAAAAATAAAATTTTACAAACATAANGAAAGGATGATAAAAAGAATGGTCTTAGTAACTAAAATGTACATTTATTGACCTCCATATTTACAATAATGAAACTGCAAAGCATAAGAAAATTGTTTGGGTTAAAGTTAACAGTGGGTAGGACCTTTATCACTTCCTCACACCTAAACCTGTAGATGATGCTGTTAAAGAGAGATTTGAAAAACATTGCATCTTTCTCAAATCTCTCTTTAATAGCATCATCTACAGCAGTGTTTCTCAACCTCTAACAAATCGTCGCCCCCTTCAATAAAACCGTTATGTAGTATCGCCCCTTTACTACAAAATTCTGATGCCGAGGGACAAGGCTAACGCCAAATTCGTACTGCATCGAATAGACTAGTGACTATATAATGTTATTTGTTTAATTATTGTACGATATAACGAATAAAATATCTAATTATTCTTAATATAATGTTTTACTATATCGCCCATAAAATTGTTTTTTCACCCCCCCAAAATATAAATTGTTACTAATCGCCCCCTGGACATGGAAAAACGCCCACATGGGGCGATATCGCCCCCGTTGAGAAACACTGATCTACAGGATAATAAATAAAATCAAAACCTTTAAATAATCCAGCAAATCGTTTTTTAATATCTTAAAAACGCTTTAAGCAGTCATCCTCAGTTATCATTTTGATATTAAAAAACGATTTGCTGGATTATTTAAAGGTTTTGATTTTATTTATAGTGTAGTTCCAGTAAGAAAGTATTTTATTTATTTACAGGGATAATAGCTTTAATTTAATACCTGAGCCATATTTTTAACCCCAGCTGTCTACTCAAACTAAGTCAGACATACTGAAACCCTCTTTCAATTAATATATTGATTAGCATAAAAATAACCTAGCAGTTTAAGTTATTATTGATACAATACTATCAAATTAAGAAATGAACATATAATATCAAGTTAAGAAGTGGTTTTGAATTAAAGAGAACAATATGTAATATTTCATTAATGATCTTTATAAGAAAACTAAGATATTTAATAATTTCAAATAAACTTTCCAATTTAATTAAACAAAGTAATCAAAAATATCTCAAAAATCAGAATTTCTGCCAATTTTAAATATATTATTTAAACTAAACTGCTATATACAGTCTCACAAATACTAAAAAAGAAATACACATTAATGAAAAGAATAAATTCATTTCTTTAACAGAAGATTAATTTTTATTTCATTTGGGTTATATTCAATAATGTACTTAGCAATGTAGGATATGATGTCAATTATGTAGTAGAAATATGATGTAACTAAATAATAATGATATTCTTCTTAAAAAATGATCTATTATCAAATGTTTAATTAAAATTACATTTTAGAAAAACGATTTTGGGAAAAATAAAATAAAACAAATAGTTCTAGTTTTAGATTTTATATAACCAAACTTAATTTTTTATTGCATTCATTTACTGAATTTATAGCATAATGTAGTAATCTGTTAAATGTAATAAAATGAAATGAAAGCATTTCTTTTATTACTCCATGTTCAAACTAGTCTTTGTCTGAGTATTATTCATGATTGCATATTATCATACAGAAAGTATATAAAAACATAAAAACTGAAATTAGTACTTTGTAAAAGCATTTTACAGAAAATGAAAACTTCAAACTGTAGTGTTGCTCCATATGTACTACACACCACAGCTCTGTTTTTGTGTTTCTTTACTACTGAATATGTTATACCTGACTACATGAGATCTTACCAAACTTATAAACTGAATAAACTTAAAATTGCAGACATAGCACAGAATTCTTGAAACTTATAAGATAATATTTATACCTCCTCTCACATATAATTCTACCAGATATCAGAAGAGACAACCACATTAAAAATAGAAAAAACAGCAATGAATCAAGATATCTTGTATACAGGCAAATATTCTCTGACAGAAAAAATCTAAGAGCATTTTTGCAACTGCCTCATTTCTCCAAAGAAAGCAGAAAAATAAAATTGTGCAACAGAGACAAGGTGAAGAACATAATGAGTGTATTGAAGCCTTTATACAGTAGAGCAGGGGTGGCCAAAACTTGGCGCATTGGATGATTACAAGTGGCGCTTCAGTCAGTTCTGAGCAACATTGCCATATTTGGCTTCTTTGCAATTAAGAATATTACATAGAAAATTAATTTTTTATAGTCTGTCTTGACAAGTTCATTTGTTGCACAATTCGTTGCAATCAACTTTACAGATGAAATGAGTGTTCTCCTCATAGTAAATTACAGTGTATGCATGTATGTTTATTTTCGACCAGTATATAGGCGTCTAAATGACAGTGCTAACGTCCCACGATAGTGCTATCGTCCGGATAGTCCGGGAATCGGTCGGACTACTACCAACTTCCTGCGACACCTGTTGACCTTTTTTTTTGCTTCTACGATACACGATACATTCCTGATTGTGTACACCACTAATATCGACCACTGCGCATCTGAACTCGTCTATCAAAACATTGGCGCATAGTATGCAAAAGGTTGGCCACCCCTGCAGTAGAGCATTGATTATCCAAATAATTGGGACTGGAGTTATTCGGAAAATCGATGTTTCAGATAACCGATTATGTACAAAAAAATATATTAACCTATCCCATGATGAAATTTGTTCAAATCCTGGCAAGAATAGCATATTTCAAAATTACACATAATGAATATTTATTAAATTTTCCATCTGATATTTAATTATTTTACTTGGGTTAAAGTTTATAGCATAATGTAGCTATCTGTTAAATGTAATAAAATGAAATGAAAGAATTTCTTTTTGTCCTTAAGTATCCTCTCATGGTCGCACCAGTGATGCCATCTAAAATACACACACCAACAAAAATAATATTGGAGTAGCCCAAGACAAAGCCCACAGCACTAGCAGAAATTTAAATTTGCTGATTGGAAAACTTTTGGTTAATTGACATTTCAGTTGATCGACATTCAGATAATTGATGTTCTATTGTACTTGGAAATATTCTTGATTGACCAACATGAAAAACAGACTGTGCATGTACATACATACACAATGTGGTAAAAATCTCAGAAAATCAAAATTCTGTATCTATGTTCAATGTTTATATGAACAAACACAACTCCTTATCTATCCCATCCTAGACATCTGCACAATTAAAGGACCTTACATAATATACCGAAATGGCCAAAACCAAAAAGCTATTTAATATTGGTCTATTATGATATAACATCAGTCATATGTCATATCTGTATGACATTGGAAAGATGTGTGGCATATCATATATCATATTGTCTTACTTGTTTGTATTTTGGATATGAAATGAATTAATTAAATGTAATTAAATATTTTTCTGATACTTCTAATTTTAGATTGTTAAAATTACAGCATTCAAATTCAGAAGAGTTCCAGCTATAAATTTATATCTACAATAGGAAGTGAATGTCTATTTTGACTAATAATAGTTTATTTTAAAAATATATAATTTTTTGTTTTATAAATGTAAACTGATCAATAATAAAATTTGACATAATAGTTCAGTTAAGATTTAAATTTAACATTTCAAAGTTGTATCTTCTATGTGAAAAGAAATTTGCTTAAAATAATTTTAATTGTTTTGAAGCATAACCTTTAATTTATACTCCATGCATTCTTGATAATTGACTTTTTATGGATATATTATTTAGCAGTAATCAATAAGAAATATTATTAGAATGCTTCAAAACAGATTAATAAAAGCTGACTCGTCAATTATTATATTCTATTTCGACGACGCCAAGAATAGCATATTTCAAAATTACACATAATGAATATTTATTAAATTTTCCATCTGATATTTAATTATTTTATTTATTATAATTTGGTAATTTATTAAATGAAATTATGTAATTTTTCAATGTCTTTATTTTTATTCTGATTTTTAAAAATTTTAACATTCGAATTCACACTCATCAAATATAACTTTATTTTCCAATTTAAAAAATAATATATATTTTAAGAAAGCAAATATTTATTATTTTTTTTTATCTATAATTAATTTATTGAAAATCTTGAAATACATACATTATTTATTTAGCTGTAGAAACGATCAATGTATAAAACACTAATGATTGATCATTTTGATCATTGAACACATGATTGATTAGTTTGATCATTGAACACTGATGACTGATCATTTTACTTTAAAATACAAAATAAACTTAACAACATGATTAGATTTAAAATAAGCAAAGATTCAACAATTTGAAATCCTTACAACTTTGTAAAGAAACAAAAACAATCTTGAAAACTTAATTGAGATTGTTTTTTATGTATATAAACAATAGGAAAGTTAATCATGTCTAATATATAGGATGATAATTAAAGTATCTATCTAATAAATTCACAATATGTACTAAATCAATTTTTTTAAAATTATATACAGTTCTTTTTTCGAAATTTCACAAATGGAATGTTTGTTCAAATGAACATGTGGTCATTCTTAGGCCTACTTCATGAAAGCAAATGACATACGATTGAAAAGAAAATATTCATATTACGATTTATTTAGTATATTTAAATGAAAACAAATTGATAAATACCTCTGATTTAGTTCTAACTTCGTTATCTGTATTTAACAAATTACTTAAAATCGAATTAAATTGCACGCGATCGTCTGCCGCCATTATCAATCTGGCAACCAAAGGAAAGAGCGTGCTAAAAAGGCGCGCGCTCCCACGTGATATTGCATCATAAACAAACTCACAATGTGTATTACAAAAATAATATAATTTGTTTAAATAAAAATGAATTATTTTAACTTATTATTATTATTATTATTATTAAACTAAAATTAATATTATTGAATTAAATTGTGGTTGTTTCTAATATAATAAATGTCTTCTACTCCAATTAACTATAATATGAATAAAGGATTGAATGATTTTGACTGTAGGCAAAATCAGGTTTTTCTCCTCTGAGAAATGAAAATCGATATTAAAAGATATATTAAAAGAGATAAATATTAATAACACATTTATTAAAGCAGTTAAAGAATTATATAGAGAATTCATAACGAAAATAAAAATTTGAAAATTTGAAATATCAGAAGGATTTATGGTATCAAAAGGACTAAGGGACGTTATATCTCACCAACTTCATTTAAAATCTACGTAGAAGGAGTATTGAAAATATGGAAAAAAGAATGTTGTAATATGAGAATAGATAATAACGGTAAGACGATGTTTACATTGCAATTCGCAGATGACCAAGGGGTAATGGCAGAAGATAAGGATGATCTGGAATACAGTAATACCCCGAACTTACGCGATAGGTGGGACCGAGCGATAACCGCGTAAGTCGAATTCGCGTAAGTCGGGGTATAATTTTGCATATAAAGACATACAAATAATGTTTAATTGGGGCCAGAGACTAAAAAAAGCAATAATTTAGAAAAAAAAATGTTTAATAAAATCTTAGATAATACATATGTATAACATATTATATTATTATACAATTTTTCACAATTACTTGATTATCACACCATAATTTTAACATTGTTTCCATCTCAGCGATAATACCGTGACGTTTACGAATGATGCTTGAATTTAAAGATTGAGCATTTTTCACAGCTTCGAGAATTTTTTCTTTGCCTTTTATAATTGTTCTGACCGACAATTCCGGTAG